TCAAGGACACACATTTCTGTATCGCAGTGGGTGCAAACCACTGTCAATTTGCTGTCCTGTCAGTGGCCCCCCCAGCATTTTCACCAAGTGCCTGTCAGTGATAGCGGCATAACTGAAGTACCAGGGTGTGCTCATGTACCCTTTTCTGGATGACTGGCTTATCAAGGGTCTCTTGAAACTTAATGTCCAACACCATGTGGATCTCCTTCTGGACATGTGCCACCACCTCGGCCTCCTAATTAATGAAAAGAAGTCATTGTTAGTGCTGACTCAAAGGATAGAATTCATTGGTGCTATCCTGGAGTCCACCCAGGCCGGGGCATCACTCCCTCAAGAGGAGTTCAAGGCCCTGTTGACCCTCCTGTGTCAACTCGCTCACATACCCATAACCACAGTGAGGGTCTGTCTGCAGATTCCAGGGTACGTGGCAGTCTGTACATAAGTCATGCCCCTTGCCAGGCTCAGGATGAGATCTCTCCAGGTGTGGCTAGTGTCCACGTGAGCTCTGGTCAGACATTCACTCGAAAGAGTGGTGATGGTCCTTCATCACATCCTGTGGACCTTAGAATGGCAGGCTGTGAAAGAATGTCATGTCCAGGATTCCCTTTCACCAGCAACCACGCTTGAAGGAACTAGTGGCCGACACTTCAGACTGCAGCAAGCGGGAAGGAGGGCAGGTCACATGAGTACCCTTTGGACCCAAGGAGAGTGGTCCATAGAAGAGAAGACACTCCACATAAACATCAAGGAGCTCAGGCTGATCAGAAATGCATGTGGGGTGTTTCTTCTTCACCTCGCAAGCAGGATGATGTGCATCCTCACTGACAATACTGCCACCATATACTACATCGACAGACATGGAGAAGCCCGATCACCAGAGTTTTGCGAGGAAGCAGTGTGCCTCTGAGAATTCGGTGTTCTTCTTTGGGGATGTCCCCGCAGGTGCTCCACTATGGGTGCTGGGCTTGCCCCGGCGCCACAGACGGAAGCTTGTCATGAGCAGTGTTCGGCCGGACCACGCATGTGCCGCGGGTTTGCGGCTTTCGCGCTCTTTCTGTCACGCGGTCCGGCCCCCCGCCTCTTCCTCTTCACCGCCTCAGGCTGCAGACGATTGGAACTAGACTCCTTACCTCACAGAACTAGACTGCTTCTAGTTCTCCTTTGTATATAAAATCCCCCTTTTCCTCTCTCTCCTTTTTTGAGAAAAAGTAAAGAGGAAGGACAAAGAAAGAACTATCGGGAGTAAAAACAGAAAAGAAAAGAAGCGGCAAGCTGCCGGTAAAATGTCAGGGACTGGGTTTAAAAAATGCTGCTCCTGCCGGGACGCAATGCCAGCCTCGGACGGCCATGCAGAGTGTATCCGTTGCCTGGGGGAGTCTCACATCCCCCAAAAGTGTAACCATTGTTCAAGACTCACCTCCTGGGCCAGGAAAGATAGGGAGAGGCGCCTTCACATGCTCCTCTTCGACACAGCCTTGCAACCTCAGCAAGCTGACTCTAATCAGCAGCCACACAAACACCGGGCTTCTTCCACCACTACGGGACTTCAAAAGAAACCGAGTCTGTCCCCAGCGAGATACCTGCCAGCTGCATTTAATGGCAGGGAGAACCAGGCAGAGACAGCTGGGACATCTGGCATTGTGAAGCCACATCCCCCTGCCTCGGTGGCTTCAAAACCTAAGCGACCACGGGAGCCTTCCCAAATGCCGGCTCCCCAGGCGGCATCAGTTCAGCCACTTCTTCTTATTCCGGCGCCGAGCACTGAGCCAGCACTGAGAGCAGCCTTGGACCCGACCACGACATTGGCCCCGGCACCGCCTCTCAGTCACTGCGCGGTGCCGGATTACACGGCGCCGACCCGTTCCACTGCCGGCGCGGTGCCGATCGCTCTTGCCCTTCCGCATCATGAGCAAAGCAATTCAGCGGCTAGTGCTTCAGCGCATGCCACAACTCAACCACCCCGGAGCCCTGCTGCTCTCCGTTCTCCACGCCGCCGCAGCTGCTCCCGCTCTCGCTTCCTCTCCCCGGCACCATCCTCTCCTCTGCCGGCACTCCGATCCCCACGCCGGTCTTCTCACTGGTACGGGTCTCCTTGTGCTTCTATCTGCCCAAAGAATTTCCAATCTCGTAACCTCATGCATAGTGCAATCGTACGCAACAAAAGGTTTACCCCTTCCGTCCCAACCACACGCTCACTCCACTAGAGCCATGGCCACATCTACAGCGTTTCACAGAGGGGTATCTCTGAAGGACATTTTCAGAACGGCGACTTGGTCCTCTCATGAGACTTTCGCTAAGCACTATTCTATTTCTCTACTCTCTCACTCAGGTGGGGCAGTGGTGACTGCGGTACTCTCCACGGCGGATAAATAGGAACTCCTTGCCCTCCTTCCGTTTTGGCGACTACTGCTACGCAGTCACCCATAGTGGAGTACCTGCGAGGACATCCCCGAAGAAGAAAGCGAATTTACTCACCTCCGGTGCAGTAACTGTCGTTCTTCGAGGTGGTGTCCCCGCAGGTGCTCCACTACCCGCCCTCCTCCCCGCTTTGGAGTCCTCTCTCTCTCTCTGCTCTTGTCTCTTACAGACTCCGAGGTGGTTTCGAGGAACTGGCGGAGGGCTGGGGGGTGAAGAGGAAGAGGCGGGGGGCCGGACCGCGTGACAGAAAGAGCGCGAAAGCCGCGAACCCGCGGCACATGCATGGTCCAGCCGAACACTGCTCATGACAAGCTTCCATCTGCGGTGCCGGGGCAAGCCCAGCACCCATAGTGGAGCACCCGCGAGGACACCACTTCGAAGAACGACAGTTACTGCACTGGAGGTGAGTAACTTCGCTTTCTCCACAGCATCATGGTAGAGGCATGTCACCTTCCTGGTGTGCAGCTCACAGTCACGGACTATCTCAGCAGAGAATTCTCTCACCACCCCAATGAGAATTCTCTCACCACCCCATCTTCTAGGAGTGCAGCTGCCCCCAGTGGACCTCTACATGGCAAAAGAGAATGTAAGATGCAGCCAATCCTGCTCCCAGTTCGCTCTGAAGCAGAGCTTCCTGATACATGCCATCCTGTTTCAGTGGTTAGAAGGTCTCCTCTATGCCTACCCTCCATTTCCCCTCATCAGCAGAGTCTTGCGGAAAGTCAAGGGGTACGAGGTAATGGTGTTACTCATCATGCTGACCTAGCACCATCAGCACTGGTTCAGCATGCTCATGAGCCTAGTGTCCTGTGCTCCCCCATAGCTGCACGTGCACTCAGATCTTTTGTCCCATTACCACTACACCAGAACTTCAGGCTGCTTCATCTGACTGCATGATTCCTCCTTGGCTGAACCCCCAAAAATTACGTATGTTCAAGCGAGGTTCAGAAGGTCCTCCTTGAGAGTAGTTACTTATAATCTACTTATGTAGTGAAGTGTACGTAGTTCCCAGCATGGGCTCAGCAATGGCATGTCGTCCCATCTGAAACTTTCCTTTAGGAGATCCTTGACTACCTGCTCCACCTGATGCAGCAAAGGCTAACGCTAGCCACAGTCAGGGTCCTCCTAGCTGCCATTTCTGCATTTCATTTCCCCTTTCAAGACCTCTCTTTTTTTTGCATGTCATCACATCCCAGTTCCTGAAGGGTCTCTTCCCTCAAAACCGGGATCTTCTCCTGCAGTGGGACCTGACTCTGGTCTTGGCAAAGTTCACAGGACCACCATTCGAGCCTCTTGCCATGTGCCTCCTTTTGTTGCTCTCTTCTAAGGTAGACTTCCTGGTAGCGATTGCATCGGTTAGAAGAGTGTCCGAGCTCTGGGGTCTAGCATCAGAGCTTCCGTACACCTGCTTCTTCAAGGACAAGATCCAACTTCAGCCTCATCCAGCCCTCCTTCCCAATGTGGTATCTGCCTTTCAGTTGGATTGGGACATTTTTCTGCCAGTTCTTTACCCCAAGCCTTATGCAAACTATGAGGAGAGGCATCTCCACACACTGAATGTCTGGAGATCACTGGCATTCTATTTAGGAAGAACACAAGTCCCTTCCACAAGTCCATGCAGCTCTTCATGGCCTACAGGGAGCAGGGGCGGCGTTCCCTGATATCCACCCAAAGGCTCTCAAAGTGGATCACCTCCTTTATCCGAACATGCTACGAGTTGGCAGGGGCCCAGCCACCAGGGTTGATCAGGGCCACTCTACTAGAGCTCAAGCTTTTTCACATGCCTTTCTCACTCATATCCTGATCCAGGACATCTACTGAACAGCAGCATAGCCATCAGTTCCTACTTTCACATCACACTATGCCATCATGAAGTAGGCTAGGGAGGACACTGCATTCGGCAGGACTGTACTGCAATCTGCATGTCCTTAACTCCTATCTGCCTCTGCTGACACTGCTTACATTCACTATGCTGAATGGACATGAACAAGCATTCAAAGAAGAAAACACAGTCACCTGTTTTGTAACTCGTGTTCTTTGAGATGTGTGGCTCATATCCATTCAACCTCCCATCCTCTTCCTTTCTGTCAGAGTTCCGGCAAGAAGGAACTGTGGTGCGAGGGGCCTGTATAATATGGCATATGCACATCATTTCAGGGAGTGCTAAGACTCTGGCCCCTACGGGTATTGCTTAGGGAAAAACTTCCAACATTGGTGCTTGTGGCAGACTGTGCATGAACAACACATCTTGAAGAACACCAGTTACAGAAAAGGTAACTGTCTTTTCTGTCTGCTTAGTCATGTCTGAAGTGTTTTTTCCCCCCAAAGCAATCATGTAAAGCTTCCCGTTGGAAGTTTTCTAGTAGTTTTCTATTTAATAGTATAATAGTTTTCTGTTTAATCTGTCTAAAATAAGCATCATAGATTGTAAATTCTAATATTGAAAGGAGAGTTTGAGAAAGAGATACTGATTCAGTTATAGTTCAAAACTTTATTTCGTACAATAATTACATCTTTCTGCATGACATCAATTCATTTATACTCCTCCAACAGTTCATTTAATCTTTACTATTTATATCTAGTGATACAAATGAAGTTGACGTCCCTTTGAATACAAGAGTGGGAACAAAACGTTACATGGCCCCAGAAGTCCTAGATGAAAGCCTAAATAAAAATAATTTCCAGCCATATATCATGGCTGATATCTACAGTTTTGGCTTGATCATTTGGGAAATGGCTCGGCGTTGTGTCACAGGAGGTAAGACTTGAGTTTAAAAATGTATTTACAAAACTACATGTTCAAAAGAATTTACTTAATACCTCTAGTCCAAGAATAAATTTTGAGAGCCAGTTAAAAAATACTTGAATCATACCACTTGGATTAAGTCTCAAGGGCAGGTACCCTGCGGTTTAAAAGAATTGTCACTTAATTGTAACCTGTCAATAAATTTTCTTCTTAATACATTTTAATAATGTAATCTACTATACTTTATGGCTTTTTTAACACCTTAATTCTGTGTTTTTCTTCACTTTTCCTCTTATTTCCCTTATGATAAATGAATAGGCATAATTTTTTCCCATATTCTTTTCAGTATCTATTTCCCCCCTTTTTTGTTTTATTCTTGTGCCTCCGTTCCTGTCCCTTTCCCCACATTGTTTTTTCTCTCTCTCCCATATTTTCTTATTCTTGTGCCTCCGTTCCTGTCCCTTTCCTCACATTGTTTTTTCTCTCTCGCCCATATTTTCTGTCATCGTCGTCGTCATCATCATCGTCATCTCATCCCAAATTTGCAGACTCTCTCTTTAGGAATTTGTAGGACCTTAATTTAGACTGCATCTTCTTGGGGCAGCGATTTGTTATATGCTCAGTGAAGCACAATTCTTGGATATGGTAAACTAGGTGAAATAGGAAGATTTAAAGAAATCTCAAAATAAAGTGGAAGCTATGCAACTCCTGTTGCAGGGAATACTGCATAATATGTAATAGAATAGATGGCACCAAAGTATGTATTGCAGCTAATGTTCAGTGAGACAACAGATAGTCACTATGTTGCTGACAAGAAAAATGCGTGTTAATTTATGCTTCTTCAGTTCGTTAGAAGTTTAAAAAGCAGATTTATGGATTTAGTTTGTTCTTGGAGATATTTACCCTGATCTTTCATGCACACTTCAGGTATTGTTGAAGAGTACCAGTTGCCATATTATGACATGGTGCCGAATGATCCATCTTATGAAGATATGAGAGAGGTGGTTTGTGTCAAGCGCCTACGCCCAGTAGTGTCTAATAGATGGAATAGCGATGAGGTAAGTATGCTGAAAGTGGGAGGAGTTCAGATTTTAGCACCTAACATGTAATAAAGGTATTAGGGATGTAAATTTTGTATTATTTGGCTATTCAAATAGTTGATGCAACTTGCATTGACTATTTGAGTAGTCGATAAGGGTGCTTCCGCCTTTGAAGTATAGCAACAGCCCCAGGGCTGTTGCTGCACTTCAAAGGTGAAAGCACTGTGGGGAGATCTGAGTCCCCAGCTGACCCTAGGTTCCATGCAGTGCTGCCACTTTGAAATGCAATGGCTCCTCATGGCGTTTCAAAGTAGCAGCACCGCACGGAGCCCAGGGTCATTGGGGGATGCCACACTCCATGCGGCGCTGCTGCTTTGCAACTTCCTAGGGATCATGGCGACAGGCTCCATGCAGCATTTCAAAGCGGCAGCGCCGCTTGGAACCCGAGGTCAGCTGGCTACTTCCCCTCTGACCCTGGGCTCTACACAGCACTGCCACTTTGAAACTTTGCATGGAACCCGGGATCTGGCCCCAGGCTCCACGCAGCGCTGCTTCTTTGAAACATCCAGTGTGCTCCCCTGCGCCTCCCCACTGCCTCTTTCTGATAGAGATAGCAAGGGATGTCCCCACTGCCTCTTTCTGATAGAGATAGCAAGAGATGGGGGGGGAGGGAGAGGAAGCGACTAGTCAACTAACCTGTTGACTAGTCGTTCACATCCCTAAAAGGTATTTTAGGTTTTCTAAAACAGGAGTATAGTAGGCAACAAAATCAGACATTCTAACATTTTCAAATACCTGTGACCACAATAAAAATACACTTGTTTGATTTTTTTTTGTTTTTTTGTTTTTTGTTTACCCATCTAGATGGGAAAGAGAAATAACATCCCCAACCCGAAACCAATCTAGTGTTAGGCCTTAGTATTTTCCTGTGTTTTGAATGTAGCTACAATTTTATCATGTCATTTTAATGCAATTTTTTCACACTCCACTGCTGTATAACTTTTTCTGCCATACTGGATATATTAGAAATTTTTAACTCTGTGGAATATTAGGTGATACTGGTGTGTTTGTAGACCACAGAGGAGAGGATGGGGTTGATCATTTGAGCCTGGTTCCTTTTTCATGGAGAGATACGATTGGTCATGTTGCACAGTTCTTCAGATGTCCTCCACACATCGCCATTCGTGGGATGCTCTGATGGTGCAGCTTGATCATTAGTACTCTAGCTAGCAGTGTTTGTTAGCATGCTTATGTGCCTCCCTGATGGCTCAGTGAACAACGAATGTTCCAAGGGAAGGGAGTAAAAGAGGCATAGTGTTCCAGCTCCCTCAGTTCCTTCTATTCATGAACAGCTGAATGAAGGTATAATTGCTTTGGAATTTTATCAAATCTGTATGCTTACTATATAATTGGTTGTAGTTAGTTTTTGTTATTTTTGTTAGTACGGTGTTAATTTAATTTAGAATATAAGTTATTCAGTGCCAAAATGAAGGAACCAGAGACTAGGAAGCCCACACTAAAGAGGTACAACTCAAGACCAGCTGTGTTTTCTGGCATCCCATGCCCATGCAAGGCCCATGCAATGACATTCACCTTCAAAATGCTCTACCTTCATGTTGCATGTGAAGACAGAAGGAGCAGGCTTTAGGCCATCTCACTCCAGGAAGCTCTGTCAGAAAAGTCTCCTGGAATTTAGAGCAAGCCTCCAAACGAACCTTCAAGGCCACCTTTGGATTGATGTACAAGACATGAAATTCACCCAATAACAATTAGTGTATCAAGGAAACTAAATGCCCTGGCAGACCACCTTATTAGGTCAACATCTCAGGTGCATAAGTGGTTGCTGATGGAAAAAGTGGCAGCATACCTCATCAGCTTGTGGGGGACCTCTACAATAGATTTTTTGCATCCAGCTATAACCGGAATTCAGAAATACATGAGACAAGAACTTGACTTCTCATGAATTTTGGATAAATTGAGATCAATGGCTCATGTAAATGTTTCCCCATTTTCCCTCTTCATAGTGTGATAAACATAAAACAAGAGCAGTCCAAAATAATGTTAATAGTGTTGGCATGGGCCACATGGTAGTGATATTTAGGACTTTATTAATGTGTCTAAAAGGGCAAACCTTTGTTGTTAGTACTGGACTTGTTGACCTAATCTTCAGTTTCCTTATCTAATTGCACAGAGGATAATACACTTGCAGTGTTAAGAGTATTGTTGTTCATTAGAGGTACAAGATGACCTGATCAATTCAAAGAAACAGGCCACACAAAAATGTTGTGGTTATAAATAAAAAATGTTTAACTGTGGATTTCAATGTCTAATGTACATCCATAGCATCCTGTGTATATATATCTATATCAGAGGCAGGGAGGGGGGATGGCTGCCACTAAGCAGCCTCTACCTGTTGGCAGGTCTGGGCTCTGCGGGGGGTCCCAGCGGGGAGCTGGGACCCTAGCGGAATGGGACTGAGCAATCCCAGCTCACGCCAGGTCTGGGAGCTACCTCCACTGCACCTTTTCAGTTTACATGAAGTAGAGCAGGGCTGCCTGAGTGCCCAGCTCTTAACTGCATTGAAACTACAGAGGCACAGGAGGGGTAGCTCCCAGACCCGGTACAAGCCAGGCCTGAGGAAGCCTTTCCTTATTGACTAATCGTGTAGTTGGTTGATAAAAATGTTATTGACTACACAATTAGTGGATTACCTGTCTCTTAACATCCTTCGTCTTAGATTCCCGTGTTTCTGTGTAAAATAAATTGGTTTTTACTCAAGGTGTAAAGATTCTTGAAAGGTCTTAATCATCTATATTCACCAGTTAGAGATCCCATATCATCTCCAAATGTAAACCTAGTGCTTATGCAATTAATTAAACATTCATTTGAACCTGTAGGCATCAGTATCTTCTATTTATCTATTGATATTCATCTTGGTAATTGTCTCTTCAGCAAGGCATATAAATGAATTATGAGAGGTAAAGGTGTGCCAACCCTTTACTATCTTCATCAGAATATGCAAATTCTCTGTACGCCCCATAATTCTAATTGAAATTTCTTTCACTCGAAAACACCATGAGGCCAGCCTCGGATCTGGAGCACTCCACTCCGTCTCATCAGCCCTCTCCATTAGCCAAGTCTGAGAAGGTTGCTCTTTCAGGCTCTGGTACCAGGGACTCTTCCTCTGTCCTGCTTAGGAAGAGATCCCATTCTTCAAGTAAAGGTGACTCCCCTTAAAAAAAGAAAATGAGGGCAAACACCTAAGACACCCCTTGCACCAACCTCAACTAAGGTACCAGACAAGGAGGTGCTGGACTGCCCTGGACACTGCCGTCAGCACCAGTGATCCCGGTAAAGCAGAGTAGCTCAGAGTAACATCCGTGCTGATGATCCCACTGTTCAGCACCGATGGTATGCCCTGATCTAGCAGGTTCCCTCCCTCCACTCCTGTCGGCTCAGCACCGCCACTCTCCAATGATGAAGATGAGGAGCCCTTGGTCAGTACCCACACGCTAAGGCATTCCTCCCCAAAATAGCCGCAGCAGCAACAACTACTACTGCTTCAGGCAGCCACCACAGTGGCTGCCTCCGCCAGTACCAGCCAGCCAACTGGCCTTACTGGGACCCCTGATCACCATACAAAGCCCAGCAATCGCATCAAGTGCAGCCTCAGTCACCTCCATCTTGCACTATCAAGGGCCATGTCTGTACCCTCCCTGGATAGTTCTGTTTATCAGGAGGAAGATGAACCAGGTTTAAGTGACAAAGAATCCTCATGTCCACCAACACACATCATCTTTCTCTGACGCACCGATGCCCTCTCCCCTCCACAGCAGGAAACAATTTTAAATCGTTCCAAGAACTTTACAAGAGCGTGACCAAAGTCCTGGAGGCCTCCCTAGTGAGCCTTCCTGAAACCCAGCACAAATTAACCAGCATCCTACATGCCTCTCCATCTGCTAAGCTGACACTACCAATAGGCCCGGCAATCATGGACCTTGCCATGGTGATCTAGCAGACGCCAGCAACAGTTCCACCCGTCTGTAAGAGGTCAGACCTTAAATATTATGTCACTCCACAGAGCGTTGACTTCTTGTTCTCCCAAATTCCTCGGTCATAGATGCAATTATTCATAGAAGAAAACAGAACACGGCTAGAACCACATCTTACGGCAAAGAGTGGAAGTGCCTGGACGTCATGGGGAGGAAGGCCTGTTCCTCTACATCTCTCCAACTACAGATATCAAACTACGCCATCGTGATGTTTGAAAATGTGATGTGTATTTTGTGAGCAACTATCACATTTTATTGATAGCCTTCCAAAAGAGAGTAGTTCTGGGCCAACATAAATGAAGGCATCCTGATTTCTCGCATGGCTCTACAAGCTGACTTGGACGTCTCCGATACCACTTCTTGCGCCATTGTGACGGCCATTGTGATGAGGAGGTCATCATGACTCCATCTGTCGGGTTTTTCCTGTGAGGTAAAAGTGATGGTGGAGGATCTCTCTTTACATAGCTCCAAGTTATTTGTGGACTCCACCGATGTCTCTCTTCACTCCCTCAAAGATTCCTGAGCCACACTGAAGATGCTTGGTATTTATGTCCCTGCAACAAAATGAAAACAGGGAAGATAATTTACTCAAAGATACAAACCCATGTCCTTTAGTCAATCACAGAGGCATTTTGACAACAGAAGGAGCAACACCAAACCAGACGGAGGCAAACCCCTGACCAGCCCCCTCTACCTCTCAACCCTTGACTTCAAGGCAAACGTTTTGAAGGTCAGGTTGTGAGTCTGGTAGCACCTTTCTGTTTAAGGCAACCCAGCCCTACCAACTATTTCACCAACATCTAGCATCCTTCTACCATCAATGGTCCTCCATCATGACTGACAGATGGGTTGTGGACATTAGAAAGGGTGGATACTGTATCTCTTTCTAGTCAATCCCTCCCTTCCCACCCTCTTCAGGGATTCATCTCAACAGAGCATTCTCCTCCAGGAGACGAACCACCTGCTCCATCTGTGGGCTATAGAACCCATAACTCACTGCTACAGAGGCAAAGGATTTTACTCCCATTACTTCCTCACAACAAAAGTTTGGGGAAGGAAGACCAATTCTTGATCTCATGAAGCTCAATTGACACACAAGACCACAAATGTTCAAGATGATTACCCTATCCATTATCATTCCTGCCTGAAACAAGGGAGGGACTGGTTGTCGATGCTCAATCTCCAAGACACGTATTTTCACGTATCCATTCACCCATTGCATCAAAGTACCTCAGATTTGCAATGCACACTTCCAGTACATAGTGCTACCATTTGGACTGTCCACAGCTCTGAGAGTCTTCTCTAAGGTGTTCACCACAGACAAAGGGGTATTGATATTTCTTTACCTCAACAACTGCCTGATAAGAGCAAAAACAAATGAAAAAGCTCAGAACACAGTCTCTCTAATCCGGACTCTATTCTAGACCCTTGGTTTACAGATAAATAAGTCCAAATGCAAACTCTAGCCAGCTCAGATAATGGAATTTATTGGAGCTCACCTCAGTTGTGTAGAGGCTATAGCTTCTTTCCCACAACAAAAGTTCCAGACTATATGGGCCCTTATCTCACTGGTCCAATCCAGTCCACAAATCCCCACAAGGACTTGTCTCCAGAAACTAGGACATCTAGCCAGATAGTAATGCTGCATGTCAGACTGTACATGAGGCCCGCGCAGGAGTAGCTGAGAACTGCATACAAACCACGCTACAACAGCATCAGCAAATTAGTGTCAATCCCAACCAGGATCTCTAGACTGGTGGGCAGACCCAAGAAATGCGTGTATTGAAGTACCTTTTCATGAACAACCCCTGTCCATGACCATCATGACAGATATCTCTTTCCTGAGCTGAGGAGTGCACTCAGGGTCTCTCAGGACTCAAGGGCGCTGGTCTCCACAGGAATGCAACCTGCACATAAACATATTAGAACTCGGGGCGGTATTCTATGCATGCCAGCATTTCCTGTACCTCATACACAACAACAGTGCAGATCTTCATGGACAACCAAGCAACCATGTATTCTATCAACAGGCAGAGTGGAATGAGATCATACCTTCTGTGCAGGGAGGCTGTCTGCCTTTGGACATGGTGCATTGCACATGATATCCACCTGCAGGCGTCTTATCTACTGAGCAAAGACAACCTCAACAAGAATTTCAGCTCCAACTATTAATGGGACATGGCCCCCCAAATCCTCCATCAACTGTTCAACAACTGGACTTTTCCTACAGTGGACTTGTTTGCAACCAGTGCCAACAAGAAGTGTCCACAATATTGTTCCCGTTCAGGCATTGGCATGCACTCCCTGGGGGTGTGTTCACAGGACCCTGCAACACACCATTTTACAATGCTTTCCCTCCAATTCCACTCCTCCATCAAGTAGTCAACAAAACAACTGTGGGAGGCAGCAGCATGGGGGGCAGGCTGCTCTGCAGAAGCTGGCTCCCTGTGTGTACCAGCTCCCACCTGCCCTTCTCCCCCTGCACTGCTGCCACTATATGCAGGGGCTGCTGGAGTCAGCGTGACCCAGGACCGAGCAGTCCCAGCTCAGGCTGGTCTTGGGGCGCTATGCCTCTGCATTTTAAATGTCGTAAGAGCCTAGTTGCTCTTACTGCATTTAAAATGCACAGCCACAGTGCAGGAGGCTCCGAGAGCCAGTGCGAGCTGTTCAGTCCTAGCTGGAGCCAGCTCCTGGAGCTAACCCTGCTGCAGTTCTGCAGAGTGGCCGCTTATCAGGTAATCATGTCTTTGATACAAATTGTATCAACTACACAATTAACAAGATAACTGCATTTTAACATCCTTACTGCTCATTAGAATGCTGTTTTTTCCCCCTGTGCCTTCAATAAGGTTTCCTTAAAATACTGCCAGCTCTCCTGGACTCTTTTTCCTCTCCTGTTAGCATCCCAGGATCCCTGAGGGAGTCAAAGTCTGTTTTTCTGAAGTCCAAGGTCTGTATTTTGCTTCTCTTCTTTCTATCTTTGGTCAGGATCCTGAACTCAACCTTCCAGTGATCACTGCTACCCAGGTTGCCACCCACATCTACTTCACTACCAATTCCTCCCTCTTTGTGAGCAGCAGGTTAAGCTGAACATGGCCCCTGGTTGGTTCCTTCAGCACTTGTTCCAGGAAGTTGTCCCAAACATTCTCCAAAAACTTCCTGGATTATCTGTGTACTGCTGTATTGGTCTCTCAACGTCTCAGAGTGATAGTCCCCCATGAGAACTAGGGCCTGTGATCTGGAAGCTTCTGTTGTCTGAAGAAAGTCTCATCCACTTGATCTGATGGTCTATAGGGTATACTAACCACGACTTCACCCTTGTTGCTCCTGCCTCTAAACTTTAGACTCTCAATAAGTTTTTGTCCCTGTTTTATACTGGAGCGCTGAACAATCATACTTCTCTCTTACATACAGTGCAATTCCTCTACTTTTTCTCCCCAGCCTGTCCTCTTTCTGAAGTTTATACCCTTCCATGACAGTGCTCCAATCATGTGAGTCATCCCACCAAGTCTCCATTATTCCAATCACATCATACCTCCTCCAATTCTTCCTGCTTGTTTCCCAGGCTTCTTCCATTCGTGTTCAGACACCTTAGATAACTAGCTGATTGCCCAACCTTCTCCGTATGAATCAGGGGACCTTCTCTGTTGCACCTTCCTCCTTGTGTTTCTTCCCGGTATCCCACTTCCTCATTTACCTCAGGTCATAAGTCACCATCACATTACTTTTTTCCCCACCCTGTCTGAGATTGTTTGTATCTTTTGGATATGCCCTAATTTATCCCATTTCACTTGTCACCCAGTCTGACCTGCTGCTTTGCCAACCTTCCTAGTGGTGGGAGACACTGGATACGCAATATGACACCTCATTACTTTACTATGGGATATTTACCTGACCTATTGAAACTTTAAAGTCCTCTTCCATTTTTGAATTCAGGCAGTAATTAAAAATTTAAAAGACTCCTGAACTCTTACAAAACAGAGGAAAAAGCACCAGTTTTTTCTTATGTAACTTAGACACATTTTCTAAATCAAATCCGTGTTGCAGATACTGCTGCTTTATGCAGGGGCAATAATTATCAAAGGACAATGTAAATAAATCAATAAAATATTTAAAACAGTTGAACTTATTTGACCTCTAATTTCCTTAAAATTTGTGTCATTTTAACTGTCTGTTGTCAGTCATTACTTATTTACAATAATATATTTTTGTGTTCTAATTTTCAGTGTTTAAGAGCAGTGTTGAAGTTAATGTCTGAATGCTGGGCCCACAATCCTGCCTCTAGACTTACAGCCCTGAGGATCAAGAAGACACTTGCCAAGATGGTGGAGTCACAAGATGTAAAGATTTGACAGAATAATATAGTACTGAGGAGCAGAGTAGAACTCATAGAACTTTTCACCCTGATAAGGGTGGGACCTAAGTGAGAAGAGGAAGCAACTGAGATTCAATCTATTTCCTCACCTCACTTTTACAGGCTGCTAATATTAATATCTTTCAGTACTTTGTAGAAAATAATGCTGAGAGTCTCTGTACACTACTTGCTACATATATGGACAGCCATGTTTTAAATATGCATATTGTTTTTATTTTAAGCTGCGTCGATACTTTTATTCACTTATTCTTCAGTAAAACTCTGGGTACTGAATTGCATGTTCAGAGTACAGTGCTTTCTGTGAAAGCCTTAAGCTAAATGGATTCAACAGAGATGGAGAAATATAAGCTTTTTGTCTTCTACCTGATGAAACCTAATTGATTCATACTAGGTCTTTCTGAAGCAGTCTGTAGGTTAGGAATCTGTTTGGAATACTACCAAGTTTAAGGGTTCCTATGCCTTATATGGATCTTTTATGTGTGTGCCAGGGTTTTTTGGCTGCCATTTAGGATAGATGATAACTTAAGTTCACAGAAGGATTTATGGTCATAGCCCCATGTATTTCATGATTTCACAGTTACAAGATTTTCCACAGAATTGATCTCTAGAACCTCAGTTTCATGTTGAAATAATTACAGTGCTGTGCTGTTTTGGTTGCAAAGGGAGCATCGGAAATGCGAACAGTGTAAACCAGTGTCCATCTGAAGGCTTGTCAACACGATGCAGCAGTGCACACACTAGAGGGGTGTGATTTCTAAAGTATACCAACTGCTGGCAACAATTATAAGTTCCCTAGAACGCTTAATGTAAATGCTGCTTGTTAATATGCACTAGGGATCGTTTTAGTGGATGCCAGCAGAGTGTTTGCCAGCCACTAAGTGTCAGCACACAAGTGCATTTTAGGAATCACACCCCTCTTAATATGCATTGCCATGCTGTGGAAACAAGCCAAGAGCCTGCAAAGAGCTTGAAACAGTGATTTTGAAAGATGTGATCATCTCACTTGGCGCTCATTGTACTCCATGATTATGTGCTTGTGAAAATTGGCTTTTTCATGGTACAAGGGAAGTCAGCATTTTTGCTGTAGAATTCATCATTTAGACCTTTTGCTTTCTGTTTTACCTCTCTGCCTTGCTGGTAGCTATCTGCTGTTGCCTGTTTGCATCTTTTCCCATGAGAGAGAATTAAATAGATTGCACTACATATTCCTTTAACTTTTCTATAGAGCCAGGCAGGAGTGGAGGAGGTTTGAGAGCCAGAGCTGGAGTCCAGTTTGCAGCTAAGGCCCACTCCCAGAAGTTCGGACTGGGCAGCTAGGAAATAGAGAATATAGTAGCATCCACAGACTAGGGAACTTAGATGAACAACTGAAGCTGACTTGCCTACATGAGGCAGGCAAAGGAGATTCTGATCTGGATCACGCTGACAGTGTCATTGCTGCTTGAAGACCATAGAGCTGGGCCATCTAGAGCAAGGGTCTTCAAACTCTGGGTTATGGCTTATAAGGGCAAGTTGCTAGCTGGCCGCAAGATGCTTTACCTACCCCTCTGTAGGTACGAGCAATTGTAGCTCCATTGTTTTGGCAGTGGATCATCGTTCCCAGCCAATGGGAGCTGTGTGAAATGGTGTCCTGGTCCGCATCACTTCCTACAGCTCCCATTGGTCCGCAGCCAAAGGGAGCTGTTATTGCCAGTACCTTCAGAGGCGTGGGTAAGCAAAGCATCTCATGGCCAGCTAACAGATTTCCATTACAAGCTACAACCCAGAGTTTGAAAATCCCTGATCCAAAGGACACATTGAAAAAACATAACCAAATACTATCATTGCTGAAAATGATCTACAAATCAGTGAGTATTTTCAGCTGAATTTAACATGTGACAGAAATGGGATTGAAAGGTGCTTTAGGGAGGTACAATAAATTAACATTGCTGCAGAATTTGGTTAAGAGTTGCCATTATAATACACAGTGCTGTGCTTATGATTCTGTGTTGAAAAAACTGGCTAGTTATGTGAAAACATTTGACTTGCCCAGGAAATCAAATTTTTCTTTCCTTTTCCTTTTCCTTTTCCTTTTCCTTGACCTAGACAAGTTGATATGAAAGGCCAAAAAAATACCCCAAATGTTTGAAGTTGGGTCATTAGTTATGTACCATTAATTGGTCATAGTTAGTTTGAAATCACAGAAAAAGCATAACTTAAGTTTAAACTCACAATGCTATGAATCTTCTGAACACTAAAAACAAACGTTCAGTTAAGCCTCATTTAAGTGCCTCTAACCTTGTACTGTAAACTTTATTCTGGATCATTTTACAAAGGGAAGCTATTTATATACCGGTAGTTGTAATGTGCTCTGTTTTAAAACACCTTGTTATGGGTGCATGTGTGCACACATGCCATAGTGCAGGTTTGGAGGAAAAAAATAATAGGAATAATGTTGAAATTTGTCAGATATGTAGTAATTTCATATTAAGGTTTTTGTTAAATTATCTGTCATCTTAAAATGTGTATATAGAAATTGCTTTGAAGTGCACATTTATGAACAACTGCAAATAACTATATAACATTGCGGGATTTTAAACTTCTATTCCATGGTTTGCAGAAAGTAAGTGGTCAGGCAAAAAATTGTAGGTTTTTTTTATTTTCTCTTGTGATGTACAGACTTTATTTAACAATACTACATATCTTATAGCAAATTAGTTATCTCAAGGGATTTTTCTTTTTTAAAATAAAGTCATTACTTATGTTCAGTAATGCCTTTAAGTATTAATATGTATTCTGGTTGAACAATTCATGGATGTGGCAAGTATAATTTTAACTTATTTGAAGACCGTGATAGACAAAAATGTGCCACAATCCCTATGAAAAAAGGGGCTATAAAAATGTCCGTCCATTGCCATGAAAGATATAAGATGAGGCTGAAGTTGCTAAGCATGTCTTTGTGCATTAGTTTGCACAATATTTTGAGGGGAATTCTGCGCCAAAATATTAAAATTTCTGCATGCAGTATTTTAAATTTTGTGTATTTTGTTAAAATAATCCAATATAATCATGCTGGTTTCAATTATTTTGGTAAATTTATTTAAACTACAGTACAATGAATGGAGAATGAGAGCGGGGAGCATTCTCGGAAATCCCCAGACACTCTCTGTCTAGCAATAATGTAATGAGTATTGACCTTTACTTCTAAGCAACAGATATATGCAGCTATATGCTTAGTATTATATCATAGGCAATTGAAAGCGAGGACTGGGGATTCGTACTCACAATTTATATTGGCTACTGACCATCTCCAGAAAGATAAATAACAAACAGTTCATGGAGCACATTTTGATACAAAAAAATTTCAGTCCAAAAATGTAGACCAGTTCTAATCACTAAAGCACCATACCCATTTATATAAGCCCGTACTGTCCTTTAAAATAAGGCTCTTTTACAGGACTCTAGCAATATAAAAGAGCTTTAAAATTTTGATACCTGTTTTTTGCTCCTGGGGGAGTTCACTAAGAAAATGGAAACAGTTCAATAAACAGGTGGACAGCAACATTCTGCTCTGCTTAAGCGGACAGATCCTGTCTCACACCTCTTCAGAAACACCCCATGCCTTACCTCACCATGTCAATCTGACCACAATAGCTAACAGGAACAGTGCCTCTCCACCCTGATGGTGATTTACATCTCTATGCGCTGCTCTGGGCACCCAAACTGACCTGCTTGCAGAGATGGAGAAGGGCATGTGATCATTCTTGTGGCTCCACTTTGATTCCCTGTCAGTCATTTTTCTGCAGGGAAGCAAAGAAATTTGCAGGGGCCATGAATTCTGTTCATACCCAGTGATGCAGAATTCCCCCAAGAGTACTGCAGGTAATTCGAAAATATTTGACACAAGTCATAAAACTATTAGTTTTCTACAGGCAGTTTCCACCCCCCTGCTACCCTGGGTTTTTAACAATAAAAAGGAAAATGTTTATGCACATATCCAATAACTTGCTCTTTCAGAATGTGGAGTGTTTTGTTGATTGAATCCATTCCTATGTTGGAATATTTGTATTCATCTCATAAAGTGCCATTTGAATTGGACGTCTTCATTAGTAACGATTTATTTGCTGACATTTAATCTTGACTTTTTTTCTGAAGTCTTTAAGGAAAATGCTGGTAACCTAAACAAAACAACAGAGAAGTAAAAATGAAACAGCTTTTAAAAATTATTCACTGATTTCCTTTTCTTTCCCCTCTCCAAATAATTATTGCTTAGTTTTTTGTAAGGCAAAACGTCGGTGATGCTGAGGGTAACTGCAATTAAACACCTGTAGTTGACCCAGGACAAATGACTTAGGCTTGCAGGGCTCAGGCTAAGGGGATGTTTAATTACAGTGTAGATGTTTGTGCTTTGGCTGCAGCCTCAGCTCAGAGGGACTCTCAGTCCAGGTCTTCGCTCTGGGGAAGTTCAGTGGCTTCCGGATTGATCTTTCAGAGTTCGATTTAGCGGATCTAGCAAAGATCTGCTAAATTGAACTCAGAGGGTGCTTCCATTTGGCAGCTAGTACTCTTGCTCCTGTGAAGAGTAAGGGGAGCTGACAGGAGCATTTGCTCCCCATCGGCGTCCTGCTGTGGAGAAGGGGATTGAGGAACTCAAGGAACATCGACTCCAGATACATAATTAATGTAATTGGAATTGCATATCTTAATTTGACCTTCCTCTTTAGTGTAGACTTGGCTTCATCCTAAAGCCTAGGTGCCAGCCTGAGCCTGAAGGTAAATAGCTCCTTAGCCTGTGTCAGCTTTCATGGACCCTCCAGGAGTTTTTCATTGCAGTTTAGACATGTCCTGATTAAATACCTTAACCCTTTAAAAGGCTTTACAAAAAAGGGACTTTTAAATAAATTCACTGAGCTACGTTCAGTGATGAAAATCCAAATTAGATAAGTGATATTATTCAACTTCCATAGGCCTCTAACTAGTTTACAAGGTAGACATTACTGAAAGTACAAGGCTTTAAAATCTTGGAAAACTGGCTGTTTCATTTGTATGCACCATATTTTCCTTAATTATTTCATTTACATTTTAAAATTATCTTTAAATGTTGATATTTAAAAAGCAGAATTAATCTTCAACTGTTACCTCTGTAGTAAGCCTAGAATCAAATTTTAGAATGTCATCTAAATGACCATTGAATGTGCTATAAGGTTAATTCTTTGAATGCAAATCAGTTATGTTGTCTTCACGTACTATGTTTTAAAGTAAGATAACAGACTAAAGCTATTTGAAGAGTAAAAATGTCACTTGTGTTTAAAATTAAAAACTGTTTTTCATTACTGTAATGTTTAAAGGGAAGTAATATTTATCTTCTAGTTTTGTTAGGAAATGATTTTAGCAGTTCTCCATTGTTGTGACAGTGCTTCTGTAAGAAGTCAGAGGACCCAATTCTGCTTCCACTGGATGTACCCTATGTAGGGGTGACATAATGGTATGCGATACAGAGAGTTTCATGGAGTTCACAGCATAGTAGCCATGGTCTAATAGTTATAGCAAAGGTGGAGTGGACATTATTTTATGTAATTTGTTCAACAAATTTAATGTAATTGTTGCCTTGTTCTATATTATTCTTACATGCAATTAAGCCCCACATACTGTTGTGAAGTTTGTGCTCTGATCTACCCATACCCAATACGAAATGTATTATATTGTATACAAAAAATAGCATTGTAGTGTAGTTAGAGAAGATGTAAATAAAAAGAGAGAAGGGTAGATACAAGCAAAATGATTACACTATTGTGTTTGTTGTATGCCAAAAGTGTAGAATAATCTTTTAAAATGTAACACACTAATGTATTTTGTATAGCATCTGATTTAAAAGGTGCCTTATTAAGTTTACCATGAATTGCTTTTTTCTGTACACAGATTATGTCCACTGTATCATTTTTAAGTAAATAATCTTATTTTAGTATATATTAGTAATGTGTTTTGTATTACTCTAAGACTTCTTCAGAGTATATAATACTTTGGAAACCATTAATGCGCAACCAAGTACTTTTCTGCTTTTCAGTTCTCTCCTGACGGTCTCTCTCCCCTCCTCCTCTCTCTCTCTCAGCTTTCCTCTGTCTCCTGCCTCTCTCCATCTCTCTTTCTCTTCTCCCCCTCCTGCCTCTCACTCTTTTTCTCTTCTCCTCCCCCTCCTGACTCTAATTCTCTCTTTTCCTCCTCCTCCTGCATGGGGAGTGCAGAGCCCAAACAGCTGTTTGCGCTGCTTGCTCCCCCACAGCAGACCAGCTAAGCGGCTGCCTATGAGCTCCAGCTGCCCCCCTGCACTGTTTCCCTTCACCCCAGCACTGATCCTGCAGCCTCCCAGTTGTCCTCCACCTCCTTCATTCCCTCGCCCTCCCCCCGGCCACGGTCTGTTCACAGCCAGGGGGCAGGGCCTCGAGCCGCTGTCACGCTGCATGTCACTATCCCGCCCCCTTTGCCTCCCGCCATGGCACTCATCTGACTTCTGCGCCACTCAGCCGGGCCACCGTGGGGGAGCAAACGGCTGTTTGGGCCCTGCGGTCCCCGTGCGGCACCTCTGTGCTGCATGGGGAGCACAGGGCCCAAACGGCCGCTTGTGCTGCTTGCTCCCCCGCGGTGGCCCGGCAGAGTGGCGCAGAAACTAGCCGAGCGCCATGGCAGGAGGCGAAGGACGTTACAGAGGCAACAGTGCCACCCAGAGGCAACACCAAGCATTACACCGTTAGAGTCACAGACAGTGGGCTCTATATATATAATTTTCTCTTAGTAAATTTTGGGAAAAAAATACAACTAGCTTTTAATAAATTGTTTTTCTTGATAATTTTATCTTCATTTGTGTTTGGAGATAGCTCTTTTATGCATATGTTGCCTATAAGGGTAAAAAACTATTTCACATTTGAATTCATACAAACTCGTATGGCCAGTACAAATAATATTAACTAGAAAGCCAATTATATATAGAGAGAGATAAAAAAGTTTTTCCTGCTGGATGACAGAATGTTCCTGCCAGGCGATAGAATGATGCCATCAGAATCAACAGGCTGTCTCAGTGAAGCGAAAGGGGCAAGTGGAAGGTGAGTTTAGTGAGCAGAGGACATAACCCCCAGTAATTCTGTGTATTTACTCAGGTGAAGTTAATAGTAATAACTATTGGGTTTCAAAAGTGGCCGGTAGGATATAATTATTAAAACTTCTGGAGATTTTCATCAGTCCAAGGAGCAACAGTGTTTATATCTTTGTTGACAAAACTGAACTTTTGTCGACAAAACTGTACCTGCATCTACACTACTACTGAGTTCTGTCAACAGAACTCGGCAGTTTTGTCGACGGCGGTAAACCTCATTCTACGAGGAATAAAGCCTTTTGTCGAAAGAGTTCTGTCGACAGAAGGCGTTATTGCACCTACACTGTCCTTTGCAACTACAATCTCATGCCAACAAAGCGGCTTCCTTTGTCGACAGAACTGGATGTAGTCTAGACGCTCTTTGTCGACAGAAGCTTTGTCGATAGTATCTGTAGTCTACCCAAATAGAATTGTCTTTTTTAATAGCCAATATTTATAGTACCTTGAAATATTGAACCATAGAAATGTAGATCTGGAAAGGGACTAGATATGTTCCCAATAACTTTGATTTTTAATAAGTTGCAGCTACTGTTATGAGGTTGATACTTAAACTGGTCTGTTTTACCACATGGCAGTAATGTTGGCATGGGTAAGATTGTATTTTGTTTGTGAATAATATTACAGTAAACTCTGTCCCAGGTGTACCCAAGTCAGCTGTTGCTGAAACTGATCAGGGGCTGATTCCAGGAAGCCCGGGGCAGAGCAGCTCTGCCTTGGGCTTCCTGTAGTCAGCGCTGGTCAGTTTCAGCAGCGGCTGAATCGGGGACAGCTGGGGTGCTGCCGGGTTGGTTACGCAGCCCTGAAGGGCAGCACTACGGGACCTACCCGTCAGCTGCTCTGCCCCCGGCTTCCTGGATTCAGCCGCTGGTCAGTTTTAGCACTTCCAGGTTCCTGATGGTGCCGGACCATCGGAGTTTTACTGTAGAAGGCTGATGAAACAGTTGTTTCATTGAAATTTTTGAATTATTTTAAATTTGTTTTAATTAATTGTCTTTTTTTTCTTCCCATAGGAATTGCCATTAGCCATACAGTGGTATTATATTTTAAAGTTTTGAGACCCCCCATTAATAAAATATTGGTTTTCTCCATACTGGATATAACCTAATAAATATTAATATTCCCCATATAATATTATACCTTGCCAATAAAAGTTACAGAACTCTTATATCTGGTGTAATTTTTTGTCCACCTTTAGAACTTTCATATAATTAAAATTTTCTTTAATACTTCAGAATTTTAAAAAGACTTTTGGGGCACTGTGAAGCTAGTTAACCATAGACAATAATGCCACTGAAAATTTTGTAAATGTGGAGAAATACACTTTGAATAATTCTTGTGTGAAATTGTGGCTCAGCTTGAAGTTATTGGAAAGCTTCTGTTGAAATCAGTGAAGCCAGGATTTTACCTGGTTTCACTACTAAAGCTGAGGAGTGGGATAGAAAGAGAACTTAAATCTACTCAATTGAAAGTGTCTGGGTGACCTGATTTTAATACCTAACTGAAAGATGCCAGCCATGTCATTGATGCTTTTGTCTATTTTTGCAGTTTCTCATCCCCTCTGTTTTCTTGCACTGCCCTCTCCCGCCTTAAAATATTCAAGCAGTATTGTGCACAAGAATGAAATTACTTTATTTATCAAAGGCTTAGAATAAATGGTACATTTTCAGTCTTGAAGACAGCAGTATAGAAATGCTTACAGTCCGACCAGTGAGTTAATTTGTAAACAGTTAAAACTGCTAATTTTCTAGCTTGCCTTATTTCAAGAGACATGGAGAGATTACAGTGCAAAGGAGTGTTTTCATGTGATTATTATGCACGTTGTGTACTGGGGCATCCAGTCTTCACAGAAAGGGCCACCGTCAGCTATAAAATTAAAATTTGTAAAGCAATACACTGGCCTGTTTTAAATAATTCTAGTAGAACAGTTTACCATCAGAAAATGCTGATTTGACTAAATCTGTGTTTTGACGGGATGTATCTATTTTGCCAGAATTTTCAACAGGAAATTATTGAAATGGTGCACTTTGACTTCATCATTTTAACATTTATATTATATTTAAAATATAAAAGCCAAAACATTTTGAGCTTATTATATCAAATGACTTATTATAATTCATGTAAAATTCAGAGATTTTTACTTTTCATCCCATTTCAAGATGAAACTAAATTTTGAAAACTTGAAATTTCCTTTGATTCTAACTTACCGTTTGTATTCCATTTAACTTGGCTAATAACAGTAGACAAGTTAGTTCAGCTTTTTGTTGCGTACCTTTAACAGAGTGCTGGAACGTTTGAGTTGCAAACACTGCAGAAGCATGATGTTAAATTTAAATTAAAAACAGTCTAGAGAGAGCAGGCAAGCTATAGAATCGTAGAATACTAGAACTCAAAGGGACCTCAAAAGGTCATCAAGTCCAATCCTCTGCCCTCACAACAGGACCAAGCACCATCTAGATCATCCTTGATGGATTTTTATCTAACCTGCTCTTAAATATTTCCAATGATGGAGATTCCACAACCTCCCCAGGTAATTTATTCTGATGTTTAACCACCCTGCTAAGAATTTTTTCCTAATGTCCAGCCTAAACTTCCCTTGCTTCAATTTAAGTCCTTTGCTTTTTGTCCAATCATCAGAGGCCAAGGAGAACAATTTTTCTCCCTCCTCTTTGTTGTAACACTGTTTTAGGTGCTTTGAAAGCTGATAGCATGTCCCCTCTCAGTCTTTTCCAAACTAAACAAATCCAATTCTTTCCGTCTTCCCTCATAGGCCATGTTTTCTAGACCTTTAACCCTTTCTGTTGCTTCTCTCCAAATTTTCCACATCTTTCTTGAAATGTGATGCCCAGAACTGGACACAATACTCCAGCTGGGGCCTAATTAGAGCAGAATAGAGAAGAATTACTTTTCATGTTTTGCTCAGAGCACTCCAATTAAAGCATCCCAGAATCATGTTTCCTTTTTTTTTTCCAACAGTGTCACAGTGTTGACTCATATTTATCTTGTGGTCCACTATAATCCCTAGATCCCTTTCTGCAATAATAAAGGGAAATCCTGTCTTACTAATCTATTAGAGTTCTTTGAAGGGGTTAACAAACATGCGGACAAGGGGGATCCAGTAGATATAGTATACTTGGATTTTCAGAAAGCCTTTGACAAGGTCCCTCACCAAAGGCTCTTGTGTAAATTACATGGCCATGGGATAAGAGGGAAGGTCCTTTCTTGGATTGAGAACTGGCTAAAAGACAGGGAACAAAGGGTAGGAATAAATGGTAAATGTTCAGATTGGAGAGGGGTAACTAGTGGTGTACCCCAAGGGTCAGTCCTGGGACCAATCCTTTTCAACTTATTCATAAATGATCTGGAGAAAGGGGTAAGCAGTGACGTAGTAAAGTTTGCAGATGATACCAAACTGTTTAGGATAGTCAAGACAGAAGCAGACTGTGAGGGACTCCAAGAAGATCTCACCAAACTGAGTGATTGGGCAACAAAATGGCAAATGAAATTTAATGTGGATAAGTGTAAAGTAATGCACATCGGGAAAAATAACCCCAACTATACGTACAGTATGATGGGGGCTAATTTGGCTACGACAAATCAGGAAAGAGATCTTGGAGTTATCGTGGACAGTTCTCTGAAAACTTCCACACAGTGTGCAGCAGCAATCAAAAAGGCAAATAGGATGCTAGGAATTATTAGGAAAGGGATAGAAAATAAGACCCAGAACATCTTACTGCCCCTGTATAAAACTATGGTACGCCCACATCTTGAATACTGTGTACAGATGTGGTCTCCTCACCTCAAAAAAGATATTTTGGCCTTGGAAAGGGTTCAGAAAAGGTCAACTAAAATAATTAGGGGTTTGGAATGAGTCCCATATGAGGAGAGGCTAAAGAGACTGGGACTTTTCAGTTTAGAAAAGAGGAGACTGAGGGGGGATATGATAGAGGTCTATACAATCATGAGTGGTGTGGAGAGGGCTGATAAAGAAAAGTTATTTATTAGTTTCCATAATAGAAGAACTAGAGGACACCAAATGAAATTAATGGGTTGCAGGTTTAAAACTAATAAAAGGAAGTTCTTCTTCACACAGCGTGTAGTCAACCTGTGGAACTCCTTGCCTGAGGAGGCTGTGAAGGCTAGGACTATAATAGCGTTTAAAGAGAAGCTGGATAAATTCATGGAGGTTAGGTCCATAAAAGGCTATTAGCCAGGGGATAAAATGGTGTCCTTGGCCTCTGTTTGTCAGAGGCTGGAGAGGGATGGCAGGAGATAAATCGCTTGATCATTGTCTTCGGTCAACCCTCTCTGGGGTACCTGGTGCTGGCCACTGTCGGTAGACAGGATACTGGGCTAGATGGACCTTTGGTCTGACCCAGTACGGCCGTTCTTATGTTCTCATGTAATATTTCTCCCTAGAAGACCTTTCCCTGGATGTGTCTAGATTATCAGGTTTTTCCCCAAAAAAGTGGCCTTTTTTCGAAAAAACATCACCTGCGTCTAGACTGCTGCCGTGTTCTTTTAAAATGAAATCAAAAGAACGTAGCAGGTTTTTTGACCACGGAAAACCTCATTTTACTAGGAATAATGCCTTTTTTTGAAACTGCTCTTTCAAAAAAAGGCGTTAAACTCAAACAGTGCTTTTTTAAAAGAGAGCATCCAGACTGCCTGGGTGCTCTCTTTCAAAAAAGTGTGTCTCTCTCGAAAAAAGAGGCTGCTGTCTAGACGCTCTCTTTTGAAAGAGGCTTTTTCGAAAGATTCTTTCGAAAAAGCCTCTTTCAAAAGAGTCTTGTAGTCTAGACATACCCCCATTCTGTATGTGTGAAACTGATTGTTCCTTCCTAAGTGGAGTACTTTGCATTTGTCCTTATTAAACTTCATCCTGTTTACTTCAAAGCATTTCTCTAATTTGTCCAGATCATTTTTTAATTATGACCCTATCCTCTAAAGTATTTGCAACCCCTCCCAGCTTGGTATTGTCTGCAAACTTTATCAACATTCTCTGTCATCTAAATTATTGATGAAGATATTGGACAGAACTCATCCCAAAACTGACCCCTGCGGGACTCCACTTGTTATGCCCTTCCAGCATGACTGTGAACTGTTAATAACTACTCTCTCAGAGTGGTTATTCAGCCAGTTATGCACCCACTTTATAGTAGCCACATCTAAAATGTGTTTCCCTAGTTTGATAAGGTCATATGAGACTGTTTCAAATGCTTTACTTAAGTCTAGGTGTACCGCATCTACCACTTCTATCTTATCCACAAGACTTGTTATCAGAGAAAGCTTGGTTTGACATGATTTGTTCTTTACAAATCCATGCTGGCTTTAATTACCATCTTCTTATCTTACAGATATTTGCAAATGGTTTCTTAATTATTTGCTCTCTTATCTTCCCTGGCACAGAAGTTAAACTGACTGGTCTGTAGTTTCCTGGGTTGTTCTCATTTCTCTTTTTATAGATAGGCACTTCTTTGCTCTTTTCCAGTCTTCGGTAATGTCTCCCGACCTCCATGACTTTTCAAAGATGATAGCTAATGGCTCAGATACCTCCTTGAGTATTCTAGGATGCATTTCATCAGGCCCTGGTGACTTGAAGACATCTAACTTTTCTTATTTTAAACTTGTTCTTTTCCTTTTTTAACTTCTAACCTTACCACACTTCCACTAGCATTCACTATGTTAGGCATCCCTTCATCATCAAACTTCTTGGTGAAAATCAAAACATAAGTCATTAAGCACTTCTGCCATTTCCACATTTTGTTACTGTTTCTCCCTCTTGAATGAGAAATGGGTCTACCCTGTCCTTGGTCTTCCTCTTCTAATATATCTGTAGAATGTTTTCTTATTACCCTTTTTGTCTCTAGCTAGATTGAGTTGCTTTTTGCCTTTGCCTTTCTAATTTCCCTCAACATACTACTTGTTGTTTGCTTATATTCATCCTTTGTACTTTGACTTACTTTCCATTTAAAATCTTCTGGTTAAGCCTAAGTGGTCTCTTGCAATACTTCCAATCTTTCCTACGCAGTATAATGGTTTGTTCTTGGGCCCTTAATAATGTCCCTTTGAAAAAACTACTGTCTTCAGTTGTTTTTCCTCTTAGTCTTACTTCCCATGGGAACTTACCAGTCAGCTCTCTGAGTTTAGTAAAGTCTGCCTAAAATCCATGGTCTTTATTTTGCTCTTCTTCCTTCCACTATCCCTTAGAATCATGAACTCTGTGATTTTTGTGATCACTTTCACCTAAGCTGCCTTCTTTCAAATTCTCAACCAGTTCCCTACCAATTTGTTATAATCAAATCTAGGATAGCTTTTCCCTCCAGTAGCTTTAAAATAAAAAAAAGTCTCCAAAGCATTCTAAGACTGTGTTGGATGATCTAGCTATGGACTTGTCCTCTCCAGTTGTTAGAATGCATCAAGAGTAATTAAAACTATATTCATTACTAACAGCTTTTCGGCGTAATTAATTGCTAGAGCTGCCACAGGGAAGTTATTCTGTGACAGGGAGGAGGTGGGACTGCTAGTATACTTAAGATATTATTAAGATCTAATCCACACAATGAAAATGTTTGGAAATGTTGGGTTAAAATACTGCATTTAAAGCATTAATCTGTGTCACAGAAGAACTTTAATAAAATCCCATTTTTGTAAATTCTATACGATGCTTTGTAATCAAAGCCCAAATGTGTCTAGAAAGAAACCTGAAAGTAAATATAAGGCTGTGCTATGCTAGAGCTGCACAAAATGTACATACAAATAAATCTCAGATCAGGCAGTAATGGATGGTCCACTGTATCTGAAAAAATGCTGTCTAATGAACAGTGGTACACTTCAAGTTTTAAATATTAGAAATCCACCCATTGTTGTTCCAGGGTAGCTCTGTTTCACTATAGAGCCCTGAAGCAGTTCAAACCACACTTTTTCCCCCTTCTTCATCTCTGCTAAAGCGAAAGTGGTCACAGAACTTCCAGTCGATTCTTTCTGGCTACTTGAAAGAGTCATTCTGTTCCCGTGGCTAAAAACCAGCTGCCCTAGTGCATATCCTGGGCTAAACTTCATGTTGATGACAAACATGTAGACACCATTATGAGGAGCTTTGAAATAGCCCTGTTCAGGGAAATAGCTTTTTCCATAATTAAGGTACGTTTCATTAAATTTCAGTGCTTTTACTTCATCCCATTCTTCGGATAATCCAACGTAGAATGCCACTGAAGAATCTAGAACAATAGAAACACTGTTTTAATAATACAGGAACTTGCGTGCTTGCTCCTCACAGGTAGGTAAGGAAGTTAGTCTTATAATTATGATTGCTACATATATATATTTGCATTAACTTATCTAATTGTAAACATTTAAAATAAGATTGTTCTCACAGTGCAAATCAAAATGGCTCAATATTAATCTATCCATATCTGCTTCCTTTGGGTCTTACTAATCGCCTCTTGGATTTGATGAGGTAGCATGCTCTAGTGGATGGGGTAGTGGACTTGTGGGTCAGAAGACCTAGGTTCTATTCCTGGCTCTACATTGTAACTTTTGGCAAGTCACTTGACCTCTCTGTGCACCTCCGCTTCCCCTCCTAATCTTGTCTCTTTCAACTGCGTGCTCACTGTGTCCCTAGCATAGTGGGGCCCCAATTTTGGTAAGGATTCTAGATAGTACAAATAAGGAGTTTTTTGCCACTCTCAGCATTGCTGAGCTGACCATAGGAAAGCAATCTGCAGTCCATTTTGTCTCATAATCAACAAAACTGCCAGCAAAATTCTCGTTCCATAATCTATCTTTATCTATAAAAGAAACAGAAAACGTGCTTGTTTAATCTTCTTTGTGGAATACAAGTTGTTGAGGATGCCAGCAAAATTCTCGTTCCATAATCTTTATTTATCTATAAAAGAAACAGAAAACGGGCTTGTTTAATCTTCTTTGTGGAATGCAAGTTGTTGAGGAAAAAAAATGATTTGTAAAGCAATCAGTTTAGATTTGAAAGTAATTGACAGAGAATACATAGGAACAACATGATCTCTGGAGTAGACCATATCATATACATTTTTTAAAAATGCAGATGTATATAGGTTGTTTGACCAAATAGCTGGTAGGATATTTGCATTGACTGCTTGGGCTATTTTTTGGCCTTTTCTATATGTAAAGTTACTAAACTGCTCAAATTTTCATTCTGTATTGTAAAGAAAAATCAGATGTTACATTAAAAACACTGATTTATAAAACCTGTTTGTGAAGCCAGTTTCTCCCATCTTCAACATCAGCATTTCCATATCTAAAGCTATGTATGGGACACTTCCAACCCACTTAATTAGTCTTATTAACACAGTTCCTACAGTTGACAGGTACTTTTTCTACTTTTATCTATATCCCTTTTGTTTCTGTTATTTCCACTCCAATTCATCTGATGAAGTGGGTTTTACCCACAAAGCTCATTATTAGGGCTGTCAATTCACATGCGTTAACGCTTGCAATTAACGGAGGGCAGAATTAACATGTTAATTGCAAGCATTAATGCTGCACTGCCCCTTTGAAGTGCTGCTCCAGCGCTTCAAAGGGGCAGCACAATGTGGAGCCCTGGGATCAGCTGGGGAATCCCAGCTGACCCCTGGCTTCACTGCCTCTTTGAAACACGCGCAGGCAGTGTTTTAAAGGAGTAGCTGCCTCACAGCTGAGAGGAGACTCCCCAGCTGATCCTGGGCTCCATGCGGTATTTCCCCAGAACTTGGGATCAGCTGGAAAGTCTGCAGCTTACCCCAGGTTCCAGGGAAGTGCCGCACAGAACCGGGGTCAGCTGGGGATTCCCAGCTGATCCTGGGTTCTGGGGAAATGCCACGGGGAGCCTGGGATCAGCTGGGTAGTCCCCGCCTGACCCTGGGCTCCACTGCCCCCTATGAAATGTGTGGAGACGGCATTTTAAAGGGGCAGCTTCTGCGGAGCCCAGGGGACTGTCCAGATGATCCCGGGCACCCTGCTGAAATGGGTTCAGCTGGGGAGTCCCCAGCTGACCCCAGGTTCCGCTGAAATGTTGTGTGGAATGCCTTGCACTGCCCCTTGGAAACGCCACCCTGGTGCTTCAAAGGAGCAGCGCTGCATGGAGCCCAAGGTGATCCTGGGCTCCATGCAGTGCTGCCCCGCCGTGGCATTTCAAAGGGGAGGTGCACACTTCTAATCGCTTGACAGCTCTACTCATTATTTATATTTTGGTTAGTCTCTGAAGTGCCACAGTCCTGCTTGTTGTTTTTAAAGTTACAGACTAACACTCTGAGATGTTTGTAAAGGATTCGTTATAGATGTAACCCTACAAAATTCATGGTCTATTTTGGTCAATTCACAGTCATAGGATTTTAAAAACAATAAATTACATGATTTCAGATATTTAAATCTGAAATTTTACAGGATTGTAACTGCAGTGGTTCTGACCCAGAAGGAAGTAACGGGTCCTTCTGTGAGGGGGTGAGTCACAGGGTTATTGTAGGAAGGTTGTGATATTGCCACCCTTATTTTTGTTTTGGTTATTGTAGGAAGGTTGTGGTATTGCCACCCTTATTTCTGTTTCATTGCCAGCATCAAAGCTGGTCTCTGAACTGGGCAGCCAAAGAGCAGCAGGCTGTTAGCCAGGAGTTCAGCTTTGAAACTAGCACCAGTAGTATGGCATAAGTAAGGATGGCATAATATGTTATTTCTACTCTTATTTCTGCCTGCAGAACCGGGCTCTGTCAGCAGCTGTCACTTTCAACCACTCAGCTCTGAAGGTCGCAATGTAGAAGTAACAATGACATATGCCACCCTTACTTCTCAACTGCTGCTGGCAATGCTGCCTTCAGAGCTGGGTCTATTCAGCAGTCATAGCTCTCCAGCCACCAGCTCTGAAAGCAGCACAGACATGAGGATTGCAGAACCATGACAACCTGACAACCCCATGCCCTCCATTTGAGTTGAATTTGGCTTCAATTTGAGAAATGCTTGTCTCATCTGCAGGCCTGCCAATGGGAGCAGAGAGGGAGAGCAAAGAAGGAGGTTGCCCCAGGACCCGCCGATTCAAAAAGTCTTTGGGCTTCCAGCTGCCGCCTCTACCGCAAGTGCGGTGGTAGATGAGCCCCAGACACTTTAAATTGCCGCTGAGGTGAGCAGCCCAGCCCTTTCCAGGAGCACAGAGCTGGACATACTTGCCCAGGGGCTCAGCAAATCTGTTGGAGCGCCTGCTCCCCCATGAAATCTGTATGGTATGTAAATATACAATTCCAGATTTCATGCTCCATGACGCATCTTTCACAGATGTGTATTTGGTAGGGCCCTAATTAGCAGTATATAGAAATCAAATGACTGGTTTCCACCCTATGTTAAAGGATTTATTAGTTGCTGTTAATTAGTATAACTATTGTTGCCTAGGAGTCCCTCATGGACCAGGACTCTGTTGTGTTAGGCATTGTACAAACGAAGTGAACGTGCAATAGGTGTTTCCATAATTCTAGTAAAAATAATCTCTTTTGGGAAACATGTATTTGAAAGCAGTGCCGTATTTTAAATCTTTCATTGTAAAAGATGAGCTGAGAGTTTGTATTACCTTTCTATATAGCAGTGGTAAGACCATTTCTGGAATACTGTTTCCAGTTCCAGTGTCCACTCTTTAAAAAGGATGTGTTTAAAAAAAACCCAGAAACATTCAGAAAATACACAATAATCTGAGGTCTGGAAAACGTGCTTTACAGTAAAAGACTTCAGAAGCTCAATATGTGTAGTTTATCGAAAAGGTTAAAAATGACTTAATCAGGGAAAAGATTTCTGATAGTGATCTTTATTTTAGTAGATAGAGGAATAAAAAGATTAACTGGATGGAAGCTGAAGTCAGACTGGCAATAAGGTACACATTTTTAAGGAGGAGAGTAATTAATCATCAGAATAATTTACCTACAGATGTAGTAGACTCTTCATCAAGATTAAAGGATATTCTCTAGCTCAGTCCAGAGTTACTGGACTTGATGTATGTAACTTCTATAGTCTATGCTAATAGAGGAATAAAAAGATTAACTGGATGGAAGCTGAAGTCAGACTGGCAATAAGGTACACATTTTTAAGGAGGAGAGTAATTAATCATCAGAATAATTTACCTACAGATGTAGTAGACTCTTCATCAAGATTAAAGGATATTCTCTAGCTCAGTCCAGAGTTACTGGACTTGATGTATGTAACTTCTATAGTCTATGCTATGCAAAAGATCACAGTAAATTATCAGAAATCTGTGACTCTCAGAGGGCAGTGCAGTGAAGCGCTATAGAAAGGAATCTACAGAATCAGTGCCAAAAGCAGTTAATAAACAACACATTTTAAGTGATGAGAATGTTAGGTTCCATTCAGAGCTTGTTTACATGGGAGGAAACAGGAATCAAAAAGAGGTATGAAATTAATACACATAAAATACATCATGCCTTGTACAGATGATCTCACTTAAGAGTAAAGTGGCTTTAATTCACTGTAAATTAATTTTTGATGGACTAAGTTATAGCAAACTAAAGCCATTTCATGTTAGTTGATTTCCCTAAGTTTTCCTGAGTGTCCAGTGTACACAAGTCTGAAGTCTTTATTCAGAAAAGCAAGGGATTTTTCAGTGAAATGACATTATAGAGCAGGCTTTTAACTTCTGAGTTGCTCCCATTCTTGACATTGAAAAAGCTGTAGTAAAAACATGTACTTGATTAGTCCGTTGAGGTTCTCATAGGAAAAAATAAACAGGCTGCTATTAAACTGGTTTTTTCCAGCTGCACATGAAAACCTGTTCTCGGTTACATATTATCTTATTCTGAGGAACACACTGCAAGAGTTTGAGTAAGGTAGACAATACAGCTAAAATGTAAGAACAGAAGTGTAAATGGGGTCAAAAATGGAAAAGTGCAGGTAAAAGGCAGATATCCTTTGTTGTATGCAGTATAGTTGTAGCCATATCGCTCTGAGGATAGTAGACACACAAGACAGGCAAGGTATAGTACCTTTTATTTTCTCTCATCTATCATTTTAATGACTGTTTAATTTAGATCTTAATAGCAATTTGCATTTGAAAAAATTCATTTAAGTACATGCACAGATAGCTGTATGTATTTATTTAAAATAGTATAATAATATAATGATCAGCATCACCTACTTTTGCTGTCACTGAGAAATGATTCAATCAATCACCTTGGAAAGCTTTGAAACAGCACTAAGGTACAGCATCAGAGTTATTCTACAGATTGGGTATGTCTAGACCAGTGGTCCCCAACCTTTAGAGGCTCCCGGGCGCCCGGGGGCGGGGCCACTCACGTGCTGGGCACCCGGGGGTGGGGCCACTCATGCGCCGGGGGCGGGGCCGCGCGTCCTGGGGCATGCCAGGGGCGGGGATGCCCTTGCACCCGGCACTGGCATGTGCCCCAGGGCCAGGGCCGCCCGAGCGCCTTGTGCCGTGGGCCCGGGCTGCTGCCTGCATGTGCCCCGGGGCTGGGGCTGCCCGAGCGCCGCGCACCCAGCGCTGGTGCGTGTCGCGCACCTGGGGCCGGCGCCTCCTGTGCGCCGGGGGGCGGGGCCGGGCCCGGGTTTCCACTGGTCTAGACTACATGCCTCTGCCAACAAAGGCATGTAAATTAGACTACCTGACATAGTCAGTGAAGCAGGGATTTAAATATCCCCGGCTTCATTAAAATAAAAATGTCCGCCGCGCTGTGCCAGCTCAGCTGATCATCGGCTCAGCGGCAGTCAAGACACTGATGGGTCAACAGGGGATTCCTTTGTTGACCACTCCCTTATGCCTCATGAGCATTGAGCTGGTGAACATTAAGTTCACGTGACCGATTATCGAACTATATAACCTCTCCGCTTATTTATTCTAACTGTGTATTTACAACATTAAGTGGGCTGACCTGAAAGTGTGGTTGATGCTGTGACCAGGGCAATTTAATATCTTGGGCAGGGATCATTACGGCGTTGTGCCAGCTCAGCTGATCATCGGATCATTACACAAGCAACACTCTGCGGTTCTGGCATGTAGGATTAGTAGTGGCCCAGATGAGCATGTTGTGGGGATATGTGGTTAACAGTCACAAGGAACGTTTGTAGGAAAGAGGGATTGGTAACCCATGATGAAGTGTACTGATGAAGTAGAAACTTGTGTATGAATCTCTCACAGGGAGAAGGAATATGCTTCCATTAGACCCAAGCTTTCTCACCTTGCTCACTCAAGTCACACAATTAAGTTAACACATCTGGTCCTGTTAGCAAGATGAACAGAATTGGACCATTTCTGTTCCTCCCAGACTCAAATAATGGTGGAGACTGAGCCAGTTCTTAGAGACTCAGAAGCCTCATTCTGACTCAGAACACAAAAGCATTTAGTCATCACTAGCAACTGCAAGCAAAACATGCGAGACTGAGCCAGTTCTTAGAGACTCAGCAGCCTCATTCTGACTCAGAACATAAAAGCATTTAGTCATCACCAGCAACTGCAAGCAAAACATGGAGCTTTGAATGTTAAGGGCCAGTAATACTCCCAGCTGTTGCAAATCTTTATCTTCACTGACTACAATAGAGTTGCACCACTCTAAAACACCAAAGGAGCTGACTTGAGCGCAGAAGTTCAGACTGAAGCCTTGTCCAAATTGCAATGTCAAATAATTGATTCCACTGATGCCCACCAGTTCTCATACTATATATACCATTTACCTGAAGCTTGCTGTGAGTCCCAGACACTGGCTACAGTCTGGGGAGGGGAGGGAGAAGACCTACCTTTTCCCAAAAGCTCAGCCTCTGTTTTATTTCTTCCATTTATAGTTTGCATGTGTTCTCTGCTCTCCTCTTTCTGTTTCTTGTCTCTCCTTTTTTGCTTCTCGTGACCTTTTTGCTGCCTCCTCATCTTTTTAGTCATCAGTGACTGAATCTTTGCAATATCCAGAGTTATGTTTGAGGCAGCTAATTCTTCATTACTTCCAAACAGTTTCTGAAAAATCTGTAGATGATCTTCAAAACTCTGCTTGGTGTTCGCTAAGTCTTCCCTTAGAATCTGCACTGAAATGCTGAGTGGTTCCACTAGATTTACCATGGTATGATTGCAGCAGTGCTTGCTATCATCCCTCCATGACTGATGTCTGCTGATCTCCATACTTAACCATTTAATCTCTTTTTTTAGTGTCATGATATCATTATATGCTGGATTATCTACAGAGTCATCCCTGGAAGCCTCATGGTTAGGCTCCATGTGTTCTACATTGCTGTGTGGGCGCCTGACTTCCTCCAGCGTGTGTGTTTGCTTTTTATGTTCAGGGTATTTGGGAACATTCTGAGCATCATGGTGACTCTCACGACCCATCTCCAGGAAACTGAATCTCTTTTTAAGGGATTCTAAAGTCACATTTTGCTCTCTGACTTTATCTGAGGTGTGTCTGAGAATGTCTTGCAGTTGAGCTACTGATGATATTAGGATACTAGGGTTTTCTTCAGACAAGACCTCCATAATCTCTGCTCCCAACAAAGCCTCTAATGCTGTTTCATGCCGCATTGCATCTTCCAAAAGAGAATTGAAAGAGCTATTGAGATACTTGATGTGACCATTAATTTCCTCATATTTCTTCTTCAGGAACCCAGTATCTTCTGACAAAATCTTAATCTGGGATTTAAGAAGAGACAAGTTGTCCATCAATTCTCTGCTTTGTTCTTGTTGGTAACCAAGAGACTGGTGGGTAGAATGAAAAGCCCTGGACAGCTCTTCAATTTCACTCCTCAAGAGATCCTTGAAAGCCATCTGTAGGTGTTGCACTTCCTTTGAGATTAGCTGGATGTCCTCTGGAGAACGGGTGATATTCTTTTTATCTTCTTCTGGTATGTCCATGTCAGAAGATACTTTATGACAATTGCAGTCTCTCATGTACTTAACGAGATCCCAGTGGCTTTCTTGAAGATTTGAGAGGGTATAGTTGAGCTCCAATATCTGCCTTTCCAGAGCTGCTTTGTTCTCTTCTATAATAAGTGATTTCTCCATTAAAGACACTCTGAACTCCTCTGCTTCATGCTTTGACTTGGCTTTTAAGTCCTTAACCCATTTTTCTAAATTAGTAATATCCTCAAAGGCCTCATCTGATTCCTTGTATAATTCTTCAAGCTGCTTTGCATGCCCTATCAGAGTCTCATTGAGTTGCCTTATGGATAGCCAGGTAGCTTCATCTTTGTTGTCATAGTATAAAGAGAGTTCTGTTAAGTTTCTATTCAAAGTCTCAAGTTCATCTTCAAGGTTTTCTTGCTCTTGTTTCATGTCTGCCATGCTATTGTTCAAAGCTAACAAATGGGACTGCTGTATCTTATGATACCTCTTGAGTTTCATATCAGTGTCAGCCTTGTTCATGGTGAGATTGTAGTGAATGGTAGCCTGTTGTAGGTGTAGATGATTGCCTATTTCTCTCTTCAGCTGGTCCAATCTCACTACATTTTCTTGAACTTTTGATTCAAACTTAGTTCCTAGCTCCTGGAATTCCTTCTTGGGCACAGTGCTTTCTTGGAATTTTTCTATGCTTTTTTTATTGGATTCCACATCCTTGGACAAGTTCCTTATCATGCTGGAAAGGTTATGTAAGCTTTTATTGAAGCTTGCCCACATTGGGTTAAAATGATCTCTTAGAAAACTCTCCATATGGGGAAACAGCATTTGCTGAAGGAGCCTTTCAGGCAGTTCTGTAATATAAAATTAAAGTGTATAACACAAAATTTAAACAAAACATTCCTATAAAAGTAACAGAAAAAAATTAAATGACATTCTGGGAAAATAAACTTTCAGGATAGGACCAGATATAGACAAATCCACACACGTCTCTGGCTAAGTATTTTTCTGTGATAACTGCCACAATATTCCCCAAAAATAAGTTTCCTTCTAAAAGAGAATGAAGTTTGATGCTTATATTAATACTTACGGTTGCAAAAATAACTTCCAATTTAAAGTGAGCATACC